AGAAACCTGAAAAAAATTCTACTCAGCTGTTTTCAACATAATAATAATGTTATTTTTAGCAGCAAATCAGAATATTAGAATGATTTCTGAAGGATCATGTGACTGGATTAATGATGCTAAAAATTCAGCTTGGAAATCACATAAATTACATTTTAAAATATATTCAAAACAGTTATTTTACATAGTAAAAATATTTCAAAATGTGTTTTTGCTGTACTTTGGATCAAATAAATGCAGGCTTGGTGAGCAGAAGAGACTTCTTTAAAAAAACATTACAAATCTTACCGTTCAAAAACCTTTGACTGGTAGTGTAGGTGGTAAAAACTGGCGGGAGAAGATCATGCATGCAATTCCATAACAGAATAGAAGAAATGCTACACCCAAAATTGATCAGGCTGACATCATTCACTAATTGTTCCTTGCAACCTATTCGCTTTATTGTCCTTAGCACATGAATACACAAGGAACAAATGCCATGCCTTTGGGTATTATATATAAATTACAACTACATAAAATACAATTAATTAGTAATTATTCATTTATGATCACAAAATGTGTATGACAGCATGATGTTATAACTGTATAAACAGCACAAAAATTGGAGGTATGCATTCAAAATGATGATCTCAAGTAGCATTGATTAAGCATGAGCACACATCTTTGGCCAGACAGATGCTGATGCCCATGTAAACAGAATGAAAGTCCAGAGAGGACTGAACCAAATCAAGAGGCCACAGATGTACTTTGGCCCCATTTCCCCCGGTCACTGTCGAGAACTGGAATACTATGGGTTTTAATGTAATTCAAGGAAATGGAAGACAACAAGTGTCATCAAGCTTCAAGACACACCTTCATAGGTCAGCCTTCATGAAATGAACACAAAGCCACATTTTGTGTCACCAATCAGAGCGCGGCGGGAAGCTGGTAACTCGGTGGCTTCAGCGATTCAAATGAGATCAACACTCGGTGGTTTCCTCTGTATGCTTCACAGACAACACAGACAGACATAAAGAGATCGAGTGAGTGATAAAGAGAATGAAAAAGTCATACAAAGATAGATACTTCACAAGACACTCACCTTGAAGACAAGAAAGACAAGCCTGTCCTGATTGGCACTGAAGAAAACTATTTGGGAAAAAAAGAAAACACTGCCAACATCATCTACAGACGGACCAGACATACTGGTACAGTAAGTGTGTTTATGGAATCTATCACCGACAGCTGCAACCACATTTACCTTGTGTAACAAGTGTAGCTTTATCTGACCCTGAAAAATTACTTTAATTATATAACTAGTAATAATTTCATTAGATAATTCGAATTTTTTAATACTTCTGAACAAAATCTGCATCAAAATCATTTAAATATGTACCACGACACATTTTAAGGTAACTGACAGTGTTGATAAAAAAAAGGCAGATTGTATTTCACTGTAAATATTACAAATATATAACAAAGATTATTGGAGTACATTTTACAAGAAAATACTATTTCAGTTTTTCTACTTCAAAATGTCATGTTTAATAATAATAATACAAATATTTTAAAATACTGTAATAAAATATCCATTACAATTATATTGATTAATAAATACATGAATTAAATTAATACATTTATTTCTATATTTAGCAATTTAGTAATTCAAATTAAATTATAAATTCTAATATATATATATATATATATTCAACATTTATTTACAAACTGTTTTAACACATTGCCTAAAATGTTGCCCATGGATGTGCTTTTTTTTTTTTAAATGCTCAAAAATTCTCAAATAACTTTGGGAAATTCTGCGGGGCCTGTGATTCATCATGATGCTGGGAAAGAGACTTAAGAGACTGCTGGGTGACAAGCGAGCGCAAGAAGGTGAGCTGTGAATTTACAGAAGCCCCCAAAGAGAAGACAGGAAGTTACACATGATTAGATGTGGGTGAGGAGGTGTGCATTTAAAACATCTCTCTCTTTTCACCATCTCCCTCCGTGTGCTTTCATCACTTCATATTTCACTGGACTTCCAATATAAACAATATTTCCTTCCTCCATGGGCAACAGAGGTCCTCTTTCTAAGAAACAGGCGCTCAGTTGGTATGGGAAGGAAAAGCTGATTTGGAATGACAGGATTTATGAGCATGTAAAATCACATAGTGTTCTGGAATTACAAAGGGATGGAAAACAGTCTTCATGTGCATATGTGAAACAAAAATCACACATATTAATGTCCTGTTAACGGGACATTAATCTGTGTGATTTTTGTTTCATTTAAAATTGTGTTGCATTGGGAATCTACGGGGAGTTGAAGATTGATTACAAAAGGCTGTGATTTGTTGCAGGAAGTCCTACACCCTTTCCAAACGGAACTGTGTGCTTGTTTTCTGGCTGTATTTTAATCTCTGTGATGTGATTTTTTTTTTTTTCTAGAAATGTAGCACTGGTCTGCCAGTTAAAACTAGTTATTTGTGAACTTTCTGGATACTTTATGGAAGTGTAAAGTACTACGATTTTTGGAGCATACTATAAAACAGTCACAAAATGTAATAGCTATAAATGCACACTAGAGGGCAAACTAAGTCTAGCAGCACTACTGCTCATCGTTTGGGTTATGGATTTGAACAAACTAACCCTAACCCTAAATATGAAACTTTGGCCAATAACAAATTCTTTTATGCTAGCAACATGAATGACACCTAAAATTGTAAATGCTACTTTTAAAATTGTTTGCCTGACATACAAAACTGGTGAAAATATCTAAATCCACCCTAAATCTAGTTTAATGTATTTAAAAAATAAAAATTAAAATTAAGCACAGGTGACTTTTTTAAAGGTGCTGTATGTAGGATTTACACCGAGTGGTTTAACTAGGTATTGCAGTCCAATTTCAAAATATTGGAGAGGGTTTTTTCACCCGGCCCCTCCTCCTCAGACTTGACGCACACGCAGGTTGCCAGATTGACAACACCAACAGGAATGAGCGCACATGACGATGAATGAAATGAAATACGCTGTGTTTT